TACTGTTTACTGACAAAAGCAACAAAATTAAAGATGTTATTTAAAAAAAAATCAATTGATTGATACAGTGAGCGTCTACCACTGATTTTAGCAACAGGAGCAATTTTCTTGGGTGATTAATGTTAAGATATACTGCACATAACATATTTCTTTTAAGATCTTCTGAAACAATTTTTTGTTATTATTTAATCAGTTTACTGATTAAGTTCAGAAGAATTTATTATGCTGTCTTTTATTTAGCTGCATTTGATAATTCACTGAATAGGGGTGAAATTTTACATGACAGATTTTTTAAGCACACATTTTCTTTTGCCCCTGCTTTCACACCAAAAAAGACACAGAAAAGCCTCACTGCTCAGAACAGAAGTTTATACTGGCAGAGGACATTCCTGGAGTGCAAGCACCCGATCTGGCATATATCCAAGTCCCAGCTATTAGCTCTGCATCACCAGTGGGTATTTTTCTTACTTCCTCTTGCAAGGTTTTTGTTTTGGTTTGCTTTTGCAATAATCCCCACAATAGCAAAATGTACAAAATTGTCAAATTACGTATGAGAGAATGGTGGAACTGGATATTTACCTTACTCTAAAGTACTCTGAAGCATAGTAAAAGCACACCCATCACCTTTTTTTTATTAATCATCAATGTGTTTTCTCTTGCTAAAAATTAATATTGATGATTCTACAGATAGAAAATATTAATTTAGAAGCTATTATTAATTTATATTACTAAAAAGAACATGAACATTTATGGATATTCAGTCAGAATATTTTAAAATTAAATAATACGACATCCAACATCTATATACTATAAATCACTGACTTTTTTACATTCATATTTTCCCTCATATTCCTACTTGAATATAATTCATTTTACAAATATGTCTGATCCTGCCTCTGACCTTACTACACTTTAAGCTCTTTTCTGCTCATGGAAAGCTAATTTGCATTTTTAAAAAAATGTGGCTGTATTAATGATCTAATTTACCACAAAAAGGCTTTATAATAAATACAAAAAGGACAGCCATTAGCTTTCTTTCCACAATAAAATCAAAACAAAAAATAAACCATCTCATTTACACAACAATTAACAGGGTTTTTTCCTTACACATTACTAAATGAATCTGTACAGTTCAGCATCCATAAACATTATATATTGTGGAGTATTCTTGCTCTACTGTCAAAATAAGGAATATTATAAATATGCAAAGTTTTACAAAACACTTTTCTAAGAAAACTATACATCCATTTTAATACCTATATTAATAACCGCAGTGGTTAGATTTTTCTTTTACATAAATTATACAAAGTACATCGGAATTACATACCATTTTAATACCAGTTTATTATAGCTTTATTTCATAATATCGGAGGTGGAAATGGAAACAGTGCCATCATGTGATACTTTTCAGGCTACTTCACTTTTTTTATTTCCAAGGACTGAGTCTGTTGCTGCTATACAAATAAGAGTTCCTAGAAAAGCATGCAATGGCAGCATAATTTATTATTTTTCATGCTGTAACTAGATCATGTTAGGTATTTTTATGCACCAACTATTGAAAACACCTTCTAAATCTGCAAAGATAAATAAGAATATGATCAGTAAAAATATTACTTAGTTCATTTATTAAAAGTTCACAAATTATCTAACACAGTCTTGTGAAATTCCTTCCAGTTTACAGTCAAGATATTAATCCAAACAGATTAATTTTTACAAAGGAGCACAGAAGTTAAATTTAGTCGTTTTAATTAGTACTGGGCAGACTACTTGGAAAAAACCCTTAATACGTGAAATTGTCACAGGCATACAATATCAAAGCCAAATCCAACTTGTATTATATTTACTTCACAAGATATTTTCGTGAAATCAGACACAGTTATTTTTTATTTTGTATTCATTTGATAATGAAACGAAGGCATTTTTCTTCCCAGTGGTCAGAATAAACTAGAAAATCCAGACTGGTGCTGAACACACATATTTCCACTTAACTCTTCCGTTTTCCAGAGCTCAAGACAACCATTTAACAACTGCTTGGAATCTAGAAATACAAGTAATCTATTAAATCTGAAATCCCACTTTAATGCACAACTCACAGCTGCCAAATCTCAAACTACTTTACAGTAGTGGGGGTTTTAAAATATGTCTTTATACAAAATTAAACCCTTACAGTGAATTCATTGATGCATGGATGAAAGTTGATAAAAAAATGCAGGAACTGTAACTTTTAAAATGAGCACAGATGCTAGATATTGCTTATCAAGTTTGAGAATTTATAGAATAGGAACAATGACTGAATTCTCCAAGACTAAAAATCCTTACAAAATTTAACTGCCTACAATTCCATAGGAAAACTGTTACTATTACGTGCTTATTTTTAAGCATTTGGGCATGTACAGCCATGTAAAAACATTTAGATTTCTTTATGTAGGACTCAAAAATTCATGTTACATGCATGCAAGCCACCTATATGAGTTATATTCAAGAGTGTTTTGAGTCTGAAACAAGTAGGGTTTTTTATAAAAGTATGTTTCATATATTCAAAACTCTGTTTATGGGTCAGCATTACAGCTGGTGAACATATCTGCTTTTGTTAAAAGGTAACAAAGCAAACCCCTCCGCCCTTGAGAACCTTCAGAGAGCAGGATACAACACTGGAAACATGAAATATAAGAAAAATCCCGCAGTAAGAAAATAATAGGGACAAATAATGTTATGCTCTTACTTAAATCTAACGTGTACTATGTATAGGTAACATTTTATAAATTGTTCGAACTAAACTGAGTTGCATTTAGCAGTTTGGAAGTCAGGCCATTGGCAACCATGTAAGCACTGAATTGTACACTTAGTACAGAGAAGCTCATTTTTTATGTTTGCAACCCAACTAGCAGGTTTTTGAGGAACAGACTAAAAAGTGGGAGAGCTTTTATTACTGCTATTGTTACTTATTCTTCAATTGCTTGATGTTTTCCCTAATGCCAGCAATAACCAGCCTGTATCCCCACCTGACATTTCCACCTTGAAAAGCTGGATAGAAAACTAATTTGACTGGAATGTTACCAGAACAAGTGATACCTGGAACTCAATGAAATCTGTACCAAGGTATTTAATACCTATTATAGGGGGTGATTCTAAATCTGTTTTGTTCTTGTTATCATCCTCAAGTGTGACAAAAACTTCTCTTTTTCTATGGTTAGGACTTAGACTTGGTCCCCCCCAACAATTAGTAACAATTTCCTATCATCACGAAACACATAAACTCCACATCAGCATTTACTACATAGTTGTATTATGTTCGTTTTGAGCTAGATGATGAGCATTAACAATATGATCTTACAAAACACTGTCAGGATACTCACAGTGCTGTACAGAAACAAGAATATAAATCAGATAAAATCATAACACTAACTAGATTAAGCATTTAGTACAGGAAATCATAATCTGGGGGGCACTTGCTGGCTGATCAACTAAAACATTTGAGAAACCTGGAAAAGGGAGGCAAAGCTGTGGTCATTTTCATGTCCCTTCCCAGTAATCTCTTCAACACCTATCCAAAGAGGAATCTGCTTGTTTTTTGTGTTCTGCTTTTTCCTGTGATGCCGAAAACAGGTGCTCACTTAAGACAGATATATTAGGCTGCAGATGAATACTTTGAACGTCAGTGGAGGGGAGTATTCTACGCAACATCTGCAGAAGTATTTCTACAATTGTGAACTGAAGGAGAGGCTGCACTACCCTCTGGGTGAAAAGACAAAATTGCATTTCTTATCTGTATTTTTATTTCTGCAGAAATTCAGTGTTCTATACAGAAGTCAAAACAGCAGAATGAGCACTAAATATCTGATGGGGAAGTTCTAATATCTCACTTTCCTAATTGAGAAGATAGGAAATTACAAAAATGTAAAAAATAGAGAAGTAGTTTTTTTAACCTATTAGAGACCTTAAGGTAATTGTGCTGGGCAGGAATCAGATGGCAGACTTGTAAATGGCTAACCCAGAGGTTAGTACTTGTCTAACCATTCAGCACCCATCTATTTGAATAAGCCACTCCCCGGGCAGATGGAGCTCCTTAGCCCTGTAAGGCAATCCATCTACGTCCTGAGGACCTCGCTGCCACCGTCCAAGCGTGCTTGGCCCCGGCAGATGAACCTCAGGATTAAAGGGTGGGCTCAGTTCCGCGCACACTGTGTCTCACCTAAAAAATCCAACGCGCAGGCTGGAAGGTGTAAGGACCTTCCCCGGATCTTCATTCGCGAGGACTGGCCATTATATTATATTATTTGAATAAGCCACAAAATCTGAAAGTAGATTCCAAAATTACTAATTAAATTGTTCCAATTGGAACAATTGGATCCAATTGGAACAATTGTTCCAACTGGAACAAATCATTGGATCTGGATGGATCAAAATTAGTTGGGTCAAAATATATAATGGAGAACTTCACAAGAAAATGAGTAGACATTTTCTAAGGTTTTGAAAACTTTAGAAAGCACAATTTTGACCAGGTTCTGTACACATGGTTATACCATCTCCTTAATTCATGAAGAGACCAGAAACAAAAAGAATTTCCCGTACTTGTCAAGGCACACTCAAACAACAAACAACTTTAGCTGCTGTGTAAGGCTTTCTCAAGTAGAAATATTATTACTCACGTTAACTTTCCAACCCAAATAAAATGTCAGATGAAATAAGATAAACTGTCAGAAAAGAAAAATTAGACATATGTGGTGGTTTAAAAATAGGTTCACTGATAGTTGCAGCACCATATTCCATCACCTGAGAGCCACAGGTGGTCTTATAAAGAGAGTTACATTGTAAGGTGATAATAGCTGCCATCATTCACTGACATGAAAACAAACTAGGCGTTTACTCAGCAGTTGTCATTAGAGTGAAATGGAAGGAACTAAATGTTCTTTTGTGTAGGGACAGCTGAAACAAGGCCCTGAGTGGGAGCAGCATGCATATGCCCATGCAGATCTCCAGTTACTGGTTACAAAGCAATGTATATCAGGGTGTATGAGACATGGAAATGTCTCACTGAACAATGAGGCTCATAACATCAGTCTCCATGAAACAGTCTTTCATAAGGAGCTCTAAAGTTTTTTTGAGAGGAAAAGAAGTGTTAATTTAGTAATGACTCTACTGAGGTCAAAGAATATCTAAATGAATTCTTATTAACAAGCCAACTGGAAAGTTGCACAAACTGTTAATCAGAAAAATAATAAAAAGCTGTCATTATCAGAGTCAGTGTAACTGAAAATATTTTTGTATTTGATTCACAATCAAAAGGCAGAGATGGTCAACATATGGCTAAATATAACTGGACATATTTTTCTATCTGTAGACTGACAGACAAAAGGAAAATCCCTAGAGGATGAACTCAAGCTTCAAGACAGCTTAAGTATAGAGTTTGATGTGTGCAAAAGACACAGGAGGTCAAGTAATCCCCTTATGGTTAGAGAATATATAGTAAAAATTCTATTTGCTTGTAAAGTCTCTTTATTTCACTGGTCTTTCAGATAAAGTATTATGATTAAGTGACACATGGTCTTTAGTGGGATGCACTGGTTTCTGGAATGGTATTTACTACTAGAAACCCGATAGAAGAAAAAAGACTGAAATAAAGAAAAAGGTCTGAAACAAAAACCAAACAAAAGGGCTTAATTGCTAAGTCACTCATTTTGGAGTGGAACATTCCTTCCACTCTTACCCTGACATTTTTGCCGACTGAACTCATCTAAGTTCTGCAAAACCCGCCTCTCTGTTGAATGGATAGCTACTGCCAGCTTTCTTCTATTTGGACTCATCAACAGGAAGAGGGAAAACACTTTTATTTTCTACTCCTTTATGCTACCTTCAGGGTTTCCGTGGGGGTTCTAATAATACTTAATCGGAAAGAACACACAAAAGTACATTCTGTTTCTAAAGAGGCCTCTGAGTATGGTCCCCATATTTAGTTAGTCATTGCCACCTGAGGCAAGATTCTTAGGAAATTATTACAACTCTCAGAAGCAAGAAGAAGCTCAAGGTAAGTTGAAGTTTTCATTGGTTGGTTGTTTTTTTTTAAAAGCAAGAACAACAACAACAAAGGCAGTTTCTCTGAAAAGAAAACAATTGTTTTTAGCTCAACACAGGAACAACACAAACACAACATCAAACAGTTCCATGATGCTATTTTCAACCCCATTTAACAGAAATAAATCAGGCTGAAAAATATGGAAATTCAAAAAGACAAGTGAAACTACCAGAAACTGTATCTCTTCAGCCTCTGAATATACAAGTCGAATTAGGTTTTAAGTAATGAAAACCAGCACTGGTTCAAGATGATACAGGTGATATTTTCCACTGTGAGTCAACACTAAATCAATTCCCAGTTTTGCTTTCAGAGAAGCATACTTGAATTTTGGCTGCTTGCAGTATTTCAGACGAGCCATAAAACAGAATTCCTGAACACTTGTGCTTACAGATCACATTGCACTTCACAGCTGTTGTGTTTTACCCCAGCAGAGGGTGCATTTAAGCAAGTGGAAAAAAGCAATTTTCTTTTAAACATAGCTTAAAGTGCTTAGGGGTCTTTTTGAATGAAATGTAATGCATACATATATTATATTTTAAATATATTAAATAATTCATAACAAGTAATTATTAGGCCTACCTGCAATGTTTATCTCATTTTCTTCTCATGTGCCACATTGAACAACAGCATAATGCTGCAACTAGCTAGATGGAGCAGTGAAGTCTGAGGAGTAGACCTAAATTTCACAACATTGTGATAAATACGAGGTCAGTAAATCTGTGGGAAGGAATTGCTACTATGATTACTTTTTAAAAAGGAAAATTTTGATTAATCTTCTACATTAGAAGAATGCTGATATTGCAAAAGCAAAGCTTTTAAAAAACAGAACATGCCTGAAGTAAAGCTCTTCATATGGCATTATTTCAACCTCCTCTGCATGACCTTTCCTCCATTCTTTGTTATTATGTGCCACATTATTTGTTTCCCCAGGACCTACGTTTCATCACTGCATTGGATAGACTAGTTTTGAAAATGAACTGTGTTTTTTAAAGACTTGTATTTAGTATTACTCAGTGAAGAGACTTTTGTCTCTGTCCTGTGTTCCCTTTGTTACTGAAATTGTAAGGGATATGGCCAAAGTATGCACAGTTTTGGAAATGGAGAAACTTTTTAGGGAAGTAGAACGCCATATTAAAAATGGATTTCTGCCACAAATAAATTTTCACCAAGCTCCATAAAATGAAAAAATATGAACAAATTACCATTCAATACAAATTTTTCCTTTTTAAGATTGTCATACACATATACCATTATGGTAGTTAGATGTAAATAAACACAAAGCTTTCTTAAAAGATCATGCATATCTCTTTTGCATGTATGTTCTCCAGTGAAGTTTCATGAAGTAACCTACTTTCATAAATATTTTAGTCCTGTGCCCAATGTAAGTCAAAATTCAGAAAAGAAATAATCCAAAATTATCTTCCTACTACTTTTTCTTTCTCCTAAGTGAAAAAAACCCCTCACCTTTTCATGATTTATTGTCAGAATAAAAAAATAAAAAACCTTTGTCAGAAGAAGCAGGGATTCCTACCAAATTGCACAAGATTGATTAAATGAAGCATTTTCAAAGAAAACACTTAAATAACACATGGCTAGTAGTTCTAGTTGGATTAGACAATGGCAATTGGACATGGAATGAATAAACAAATAAATCATTATGTCTGGAAGCAAAATAAGAACAAAACTAGGTAGTTCTGTAAGCAATAGAAATTCTGAATAACATCATGGACATTCTTAATGCTTTTTCCTCAGCAGATGCACTATTTTGCAAGTTTCTTTTATATGGTCCATCTGTTTTCATGGATATAAGCATCTTTGAGGCCTCTACTTCTCAATCAAATTTATCTGAAGTTGGTCAACAGGTTCAAGATTTATTGTGGGGGACTGACAGATAGTATGATTGCATCAACTTACAGAAGTTCTGTTTCCTTACAAAAGTATGATAAAAATAGCAAATCTAGGCTATGTTATCCTAGGAAATAGACAATTCCACAGCAGGGCACTTTCTGCAGGGAAGGCCAAGCCAGGAAGAACACAGGAATACAGTGTTCAGGTCTAGCAGCAAGAATTCTCAAACTGCCATAACACAAAAAAAGGAGAGCAGATAAAAATATGCCCAGTACTACACCAAATATTAAAAATAAGATTAATCAATTAGAATATTTTAACTAGCATTCTTAAAGAAAAAAGAAATGCCATATTTCAGTACAACATAATTACTTCTTATTAGCAACTTTTGATTAATTCTGTTAGAAAATCTCAGATAGGTCAACATAAAGAAGGGCTTGCTTCTTTGAATTCAAACTATAGCACGGTATTGGTTCAGCAACAGAACATGACAGACCAAGTTAATGTAACTGCAATACTTCAGATAGAGTTTTATCAAGGATTAATATAGCACAATACTTCCAATTGTTATGACCATGTTGTCATCAGTTTAGGCGCAGTAACTCCCCTTTCAGTAATTCAGTCATGCTTTGAATACTCCAGTGCACTGATCTCACCTCTTATTTATTCATCAGAAGAAAAGTTGCTTGTAAAGAATGACATGGTCTTGTTACAGGACAATTTATATAATAAAATATCTTCATTTTGTTTCATTCATTGTATTGTTTAATATGAAATCAAGATTAGGTCATAGAAGATAACTGCCATGGAGGAGCTGCCACCCTGAAATATCTTACATAGCATTACTGTTAGAAGTATCCTAAGCATCAGGCTTATTAGGCAGCACTCATTTATTCATTTGGTCAATCTTGTTGCACATACAGTTGGTCTCTTGACCTAATATAGTGCATTTAACACATTCGCAAGCACGGATTGTTTTTTTCCCCTTAAGTCAATGCCTCCGATAAACAAGTAGCAGAAGCTATGTCTCCATTTGCTTCACTTATTGGTAAGAAGACTGCTGAGGAACTCATTCATTCACACTGGACTATTGTAATGTATAAGCTAGTTATGTCACCTAACTTTCTCTCTTACTCTTTTGTATGAGACGTGAAATTCATATCCACCTTATCTGCTTAATGAATGGGTTTCTCTGAACATGAAAGTTACAGATACAAGAATCTGAACAATCCTCAATGGCATCACAAAAGAAATGTACAGCTTTGCTAATTTAAGTAACTTTTTAAGTCTAAAGCAACTAAACTTAAATACATTGTAGAATTAAATTGTATGAGAAGCAGTACAACATCATTATAAAAGATAGGAAATACAATAGTAACATGAGAAATATTGAAGCCGTGAATTAAATTTCACAGTTGCTACACAGGCTCAATTAAGTAAACACAGTTTTCACAAAATATTTTTAAACTGGAAATCAGGAAAAAATGAGGTAAATTGAAAAAAAAAAAACGACTAAAGAAATCTCTAACACTAAATTTCAACAGTTTAATTTCTTTTTGTTTAAATGCTCATTTACAGATAAAATTTGGAATGAGATCACATTCATCAAACTGTCCACTTAATGTAACAATATTGCATCTCATTGACAAATCAGCCATCAATTAGAAGCCGTAAAATTTAATTAAACATATCCTAATCACAGCTAGCACTGTAATGTGACCCGCACATATGCATGCATTTCACGTATCACAACGTGACAGCACTGCACTTCCTTCCATTTTTCCTGCTACCATATTGAGGACCTAAAATGAAGGTTTTCAGAGACAGAAACAAATGGAAATAAGAAGGGGGGAAAAAAAAGAAGTTGCTAAAGCAGTAAGGCAGAGATAAATACACAATATCTGTAACAGAGGCAGGCAGGAATTCAAGACATATGTTCAAAAACAAATAAAATACAAGTGTTGAACTATTTGACCATACTTCCACGTTGATGTCCTAGCAACTACACAAAGTAGGAAAGCTTTGCTTTCATGCTTTATGACCTCGTAAGAAGCTTCTCGATGGCATTACAGTTCACTAATCCATAGCTGCCTTGTATTTACTGTAACTGTATTATATTGTTATAGGTGTTATTAATATTAATAATATGTAATAAAACCACAGAAGAATATTAATAATTTGAGGCATCATTGCCTGCTGCTCTAGAACTCTTACACTTTAATTAGTTTATATATTTTCGTATATATTTCCAATAAAATGGAAAGGAATAAAGTAGTCTAACCATCAACATCACTAAAAATGTCACAGGGCACAAAGTTCAGCATAGATTTTACTCATGGTCTTCACAGAACTTTAGAAGATGGCTTCCTGAATTAATTCACAAATGACAGAAGACAAGTATTACACACTTATCCACCAGACCTCTTCCAGCCTTGTGTCTTTTCTTCCTTCCATTGTGACACCATTAACAAATTCCATTCTGTTCTTTGTGGTTCCTGAACCTCTCTTTTGCTGTGTCCCTGTCCTGAACAACATCTTTTCTACTAGAGAGCTAATA